ATGAAACCTAGAAGTCTACATTTTTAACAAGCTCCTTTATACCAACCGCACTTGAAGAAGCACAGGTCTAGAAAGTTTACTATTCATTATGCTAAGGGCTTGCTCTAGGGAAGTTTTGGTTTACTTTATCATCAGATCCTTTTTTTCTGTTGTATTCTGATCAGTAATGACTTAAAAATATTTTTGAAAGCATAATAAGATTATAAAAACAAATTCTTTTCAGTTTCAGGTGTGTGTGTGAGAGGGATTTTGCTCCCCAGGAGATATCTGGCAGTGTCTGGTGACATTTTTGGTTGTTAGAACTGGAGGGAGGGGTGCTATTGGCATCTGGTGGGTAGAGGCCAGGGATGGTACTCAGCATCCTACAGTGCACAGACAGGATAGCTCCTCCCAACAAATGATGATCTGGTGCAAGATTAAGTAATGCCACTGTTGAGAAATCCTGGTTTAGAATGATTATGGGCTTTTGAAACCTAGCTCTGTGTCTTACTAACTGTGGCACTTTGGGTAAGTTACTTAACCTCTCTGATCCTGTTTACTCAACAGTTAAGTGAGCATAAAAATAGAATGCTTACTTCAGAATGTTGTTTTGAGAATTGAACTAAATTATATACCCTATAAAGCAAGAAGTAGCTACCTGACACATAGTAGGTATTCCAAATAGTAGCTGCTATTTTCTCCATAAAACCAAATCAAGATAGGCTTATTTAGGATATATTAAAATACTGGATCATAGTGAATAAGGATTATAACTTTTCATTATCATGTTCAAGGCTGTGTTCATGTAATTTTATTGTGAAAGTTTAAAACTGTTGTGATGTGTCTTCATTTTAAAGAAAATAAACTCAGAAGGTAACCTAATTGCCTCTGCATTAAGCAGTCTTTTGAAGTGGTTATCCCATCTTATAAGAGCTTTAAAAAGAATATGTAATTCCTTCGAACTAATTTCTTCTACTTGACAAATCATTTGGGGGTTGAATAGCCAGAAATCTAGTCTTTCCAGTCTGTTGATAAATAGGAAGACAAATATTATAAATTTTTTATAATTACTTGGTTGAAAAAGCCTATTTAAGGATTTTTATGTAAGAAAACACCACTAATACAAACTAATTCAAAGTACATATATTTGTTTTGTTGGCATGATCATATATATGTGGTCAAATAGAAATAGAACATATATAACTATGTAAATACCTGTTACTGCTTTACACTTTTTTTTCTCAAATAGCCCTAAATAAAATCTGAAGTCATGGTGAATAAAATAGCCAAATCATGTTTGAATTTGCTGGTAACTGTCCAATTTAATTTGAAAACATATTAAAATTAATGACTGCTTTAAAATATAGAATGCATATTTTTAAAATGTGAACCAGTATTATTGTCTGAGCTGTGAGGATCATCAAAGCTGTATCAAATAATAATAATTCATTTTGTTGGAAAAACTGAATAAATTTAATCTATGCAGCCTTAATTTAAATCAAATATTCCCTACTCTTGACAATTACTGGTAACTAATTCTACTGTTGAATTGATGAACTAGCAACATCCTGAGGCTATCTTGATCACCATTTGCCCCTTATTCTATCTCCTGATTCACTCTCTCCCACAGCCTTTACCAATTATTTGTTTCATTGTTCCATAATCTTGTTAATTATTTTTTATATCAATCTTTTGAGAGTGTATATATTTCTCTATGGGTTTATAGTCTGTTTAATTTTCTATGTGTGGCATATTCATTTCGTGGCTCTTACTGGAATTATTTTGCATGTGTAACAAAACTAGTATTTATGCAGTCTTTTTCCATCAGTCATAGAGGTGTACTCAGGAAATAAAATACTGTTTTCAGTATTAGCTAAAGACAAATGCATTTGTAATGCTGGCGAGGATATGGAGAAAGGGGAATTCTTCTGCACTGTTGGTGGGACTATAAATTTGTACAGCCATTATGGAGAACAGTATATCCTCTGTATATATTCCCACTACTGGTGATATATACAGAGGATTGGAAATCATCATGTCGAAGGAATACCTGCACTCCCATGTTTATTGCAGCTCTATTTACAATAGCTAGGCAATGGAACCAACCTAAATGTCTGTCGATGGATGACTGGATAAGGAAATTGTGGTATATATAAACAATGGGATACTTCTCAGCCATAAAAAAAAGAATGAAATTTTGCCATTTGCAGCAACATGGATGAGCCTGGAGAAAATTATCCTAAGTGAAACAACCCAGGTACAGAAAGAGAAATACCACGTGTTCTCACTCATAAGCAGGAGCTGAATCCATAAATAAACAAATAACCAAAGAGAGACAGATAGAGAGAAAGGAAGAAACAACACAGTAGTATGTTGAACTTTTAGAAAGTACCATGGTTACTAGACGTGGAAAGGGGGAAAGGAGGGGGAGATGGGGGGGATTAACAAGGAATTGGTTAATGGACACAAAGAATGATTGTGTATAGTAATAATGAATAAGCTAATTATTCTGTTCTAACCATCACACATTGTACACAGCTATTGAAAATCAACTTTGTGCCCACATGTATGTATAATAAATAAATTATCTTTAAAAATTCAAAAAAATAATTGATAAGAAAGAAAATAAACATATGAAACATACATACATTTATTTTAAAAAATGCATTTGTAGATTCCATGTTACTGTTCCATTCCAGAAATGGAAAAAAAAGTTTCATTTCTATGTTAGTGTTTATGTGTGCAATCATTATTTCTTCCTAACATGTGCAAGTCATTCCATTCCCAGTTGGGTTTCATTAAATGGAAATTAGTACACACTTGTTGAGTACCTACCATATGCTAAGGTACTACACGTTCCTGCTCTCTAGTAGCTGACAGTCTAGTGGAGGAATCAGATGTCAAAGTGTCTTAGAATGGTGAGTGCTAGAATACAGGTAATGGGAAATGTAACTGTTCAAATGTTTCTGAATGATGAACCACTCTATGATTTCCTAGCCCTTTATAGACATATCCCTAAAAGAAGAGCAAAATCATAAGTTAGCATTAATTCTACTTTGAGATTCTTGTCTTCTGTACTTTGTTATCCTTTCCTGTCTTACTACTCTTGCAAAGATTGAACATTAACAGTGGAGATGAAGAGGAGGATAAATAAATATGATGGCGTTTAATTTCAAACTGAATTCCTGTTGACTAACCATGCTTCTCTTCCACTGCCTCATGATGATTGGCTATTAAAAAGGAACAAACGAAAGGTAGCTCCTTTATTGTGTAGACCTAAATTTTCATTTCTCTGGGATAAATGCCAAGGAATATGATTCCTGAGTTATGTTTAGTTAGCTTTTTTTTTGGCAGCTGGCTGATACAGGAATCCAGACTCTTGATCTTGGTATTAAAATACCACGGTCTAATCAATTAAACTAACCAGCCAGCCCCTAGTTGCTTAATTTTTTAAGAAACTGACAACTGTTTTCCTGAGTGGCTGTACCATAGTACATTCCCACCAGCAATGTAAGAAAAATCCAGTTTCTCCACATCCTTGTCAGCATTTGGTATTATCACTGTATTTTATTTTAGTAACAGATGTGTAGCGGTATCTCATTGTGCTCTTAATTTGCATTTCCATCATGGCTAATGATGTTGAACATCTTTTCATATGTCTGTTTGCCATCTGTAGTTTCTCTTCGATTAAATATCTCTTCGTGTCTTTTGCCCATTTTCTAATTGAATTGTTTGGTTTTTTACTGTTGAGGGTTTTTTTTAAAAAATATTATTTACTATAGGCATATTATTACAAATCATGATTTTTCTTTATGCCCTTTACCCAACCTATATCCCTCTCCAAACCTCCCCCACCCGTTCAGTTTTGATAGTTTTTTAAAAAATGTATTCTAGCTACTAATCCTTTGTCAGATATGTGGTTTGAAAATATTTTCTCCTGCTCTGTAGCTTGTCTTTTTATCCTTGTAACAGGATCTTGTGCAGAGTAAAGGTTTTTAGTTTTGATGAGGTGGGTTTTACCTATTTTTTTCTTTTTATGGATTCTACTTTTGGTGTCAATTCTAAGAACTCTTTCCTACCCTTGAATCCTCTAGATTTTCTCCTATCTTTTTTTCCTAGAAGTTTTGTAGCTTTACAATTTTACATTTAAGTATGTGGTCCATTTTGTGTTAATTTTTGTAGAGGATGTGAAGTTTAGTTGGAGATTTATATTTTTGTTTATGGATGTCCAGTTGCTCCTGCAACCATTTGTTGAAAAGGCCATCCTTCTTCCACTGAGTTGCTTTTGCACCTTTGTGCAAAATCAGTTAGCTGTACTTGTGGGGGTCAATTTCTGGGTTCTTTATTCTGTTCCATTGATCTATCTGTCTGTGCCTTCATCAGTACCACACTGTCTTGATTACTGTAGCTATTTAGTAAACTTTAAATTGGGTAGAGTGATTCCTCCCATTTTACTTTTCATTTTCAAGATTGTTTTCTTTGCAGTTTTCTTTGAGAAGTAAAATTTTATATAAAACTAGCTGGTTGATTTAATTCGGCATTCTTTGGAATCTTTGGCAAATCAAAAGTTTTATGATTTTTTTTTTTGGCGGCTGGCCAGTAAAGGGATCTGAACCCTTGACCTTGGTGTTATCAGCACTTGGCTCTAACCAAGTGAGCTAACCAGCCGGCCCTGGTTTTATGATTTTATCTTATTTTATTTATTAGTAAATAATAAGTAACTCACATCAAAAAGTGTAATATCCTATCAGTGTTATAACACCGAGGTCAAGGGTTCAGGTCCCAGTACTGGCCAGTTGCTAAAAGAAAAGAAAAAAAGGTGTAATGTCTGATTAAATCTTACAAAATAATATATTTTAAGTATAATTATCATTAGGCCCAACTACCAAATTTTGGTTTTAGATCTCTCACATTTTCTATGTACTTCAGCTTGTTAGTCTTGGTTTTTAAGTAAGTTGCGTAAAGGAACTTTAAATGCCAAGTTGAGTGTATTAACAGCATGCTTACCTTGCCTTTTTTAGATGGTGTTATCTGAAAAGGTTAGTCAGCTGATGGAATGGACCAATAAAAGGCCTGTGATAAGAATGAATGGAGACAAATTCCGTCGCCTTGTTAAAGCCCCACCAAGAAATTACTCCGTTATTGTCATGTTCACTGCTCTTCAACTTCATAGACAGTGTGTCGTTTGCAAGTATGAACTTTCACCTACACTTTAAAGTTAAATAACTTATAAGATTTTAACCATTTCTCAACCCCAGAAGAACCAAATTAGTTCAGTGGGTACATAAATAATTAATATGCATGCCTTACTTAGTATGTCCCTTTGGTAACATGTAATACTGCTGTTTTTTTATAGTCAGTTATTGGTTGTCTGTATTAGTGGGGGGGGCGGCATGGATAAAGTATTGTGGTAGCCATCATATGAATAACTTGAAAATCAAACAATCATCTTATAAATTGGCATCACTTTATCTAAATGTATTCCAGTAGCATGCATTTATTACTTATAAGTTTTATATATAAGTATTTATTTATTTTATGTTTATAAGTTTTATTTTTATAAGTGCTTTCAACTCCATGTTCTTGTTTTATCACAACAATCCCAGAAGGTAGATAAAGTAAATACTCTCCCATTTTTGGGAGAAACAAGCTCCAAACTTTTAACAGGTCTACCCAAAGCTTGAGATATTTATTAATGCAATAATGGTGGCTTCATTAAAATTTGGAATATGAGGGCCAAGCCCGTGGCGCACTCAGGAGAGTGCGGCGCTGGGAGCGCAGTAGCACTCCCGCCGCGGGTTCGGATCCTATATAGGGATGGCCGGTGCGCTCACTGGCTGAGCGCAGTGCGGCCAGTCTCAAAAAGGACAAAAAAAAAAAAAAAAAAATTTGGAATATGAGAGGATGGGACATTTTTAAAAATCAAGGATCATGTGATTGCATATGTGGAATCTAAAGACATCAAAATCATAGGAGAAAGTGGAATGGTGATTACCAGGGGCATTCAGGGGGTAGAGGAAGGAGAGATGTTGGTTATCAGAGAGTATAGTTTCGGATACATAGAAGGAATAAGTTTTAGTGATCTGTTGCACAGCATGGTGACCATAGTTAATCATAATTGTATTGTGTATTTTCAAATTGTTAAAAGTAGATTTCAAATGTTCTAACCACACACACATAAAAAATAAGTAGTTGAGGTGATGGGTATATTAATTAGCTTGATCTAATCATTCCACAGTGTATACATATATCAAAATGTCACTGTACCCCATAAATATATACAATTTGTCGATTTAAAAATAAGTTAATTTCTTTCAGAAGGAGAGAACAAACCTAAGGATACTAGAGGTCGGGGGGAGGAAGGGAGGGGGTTTAGGAAGTAATAGGTCAGGTAAAGGGCATAAAGAAATATCACAATTTGTAAGAATGAATATGCTAATAATAAACTTTAAAATAAAAAAAATAAACCACTTTTGATGCAAAAAAATACGTAAATAGAAATAAGTTAATTTTTTTTTTTTTCCCCTTTTTGTCTTTTTTCATGTCCGGCAACGGATCGCAACCCTCAGTGTCGTGCCCGTACCGGACCGGGACCGGCAACGGGATCGCAACCCTTGGTGTTGCTCCCGCACCTCGCTCAGCCAGTGAGCGGGAACCGGTCTGTATGTGGGATCCGAACCCTCGGCGGGAGCGCCACCATGCTCCCAAGCGGTGCACTGTAGCAGTGCGCCACCGGGCCGGCCCGAAATAAGTTAATTTTTTAAAAACCCAAAGATGCATGATTTAGAGAGATTTCTTTTTTTCTTTTTTCTTTTTTTTTTTTTTTTCTCCTTTTTGTCTTTTTTCGTGACCGGCAACGGATCGCAACCCTCAGTGTCGCGCCCGTACCGGACTGGGACCGGCAACGGGATCGCAACCCTTGGTGTTGCTCCCGCACCTCGCTCAGCCAGTGAGCGGGAACCGGTCTGTATGTGGGATCCGAACCCTCGGCGGGAGCGCCACCATGCACTCCCAAGCGGTGCACTGTAGCAGTGCGCCACCGGGCCGGCCCCTACAGGCGATTTTTTTTAATAGTGGTAAAATACTCGATCCTTTTTCATGTTTTTTA